AGAGAGGTTCAAAGCCAAATGCTACCTTTTCTGATGCGATAGAGTTTTGTGAGGATTGAGCACAAGAGTCTGTTTATATGTATATTTCTTTACTTTCTCTTTTGTGGGGGATTGTTACAAAATGATAAAGTAAGGGGGCGGTATCGCCCCACATGCACCGCCCCCAATTGTCATTAATATATTTATATATATATAATATATATATATATATTTTATTAAAAATTGCAATTGGGATTGCAATTTGGCCATTTGATTCTTTCATTCGCCTACAAATAGGCATGCTCGACAGAAGGAGAAGACGCACCAAAATAAGAAGAGGAAAAGAGAGGAAAGAAAAAGAAAGAGAAAGTAAAGAAAAGATAGATTTATGTCCAAATATCGGATATAAAAATATCAAAAGAAAAGAAACAAGTGATATTTTTATTTATTTTAAGATATTCTGTTTATTTCTAAGTGCTCAATTCTCGATTCCGATCTCGTTCGCCGGAGCTTGTAAATCTGGTGTGTTACAGATTTAGAGACATCTGCCGTTCTATTTTTGGGGAAGTTACGCCTGAATCGTTAACTGACACACGGGGCGTATTCTTCTTGCTGAAAGAGTTTTACTCGTCTCGGCTAAAATCTTTCCGTTTCAGTTGTAATTTATTTTTTTAGTGCAATTGTAATTTTCTATTTTTAGATTATTTGTAAGAACTGAAAAACACATATCAGTTCGTAGGATTCCTGTGTAATTTCACTCCAAATATCCAACAGACAGTACCATCGGCGATCTTGGTTTCCGTCCGCCGCACCGAACCGCAGCTGTCGGTGATGTCGTCACCGCCCCAACCTGCCATGGCTCCACCCCCCACCGTCGCGATTTGGCCATCAAAATCACGTCCATTTCGCCGTCGACAGCCGAGTGCAAGTTTCCATCACCGACATCCCACTCCTCCGTCAAACACATCGCGCCAAGCCGCCTTGTCTCTAGCACCCTCCGTGAACCAACAACTCCTTCGTCGTCGTCACGTGTCCAAGTTCCGGCTGACTCTAGGCAGCCGTGCGGCCTTTGCGTAGGAGGATTCCGACAGCTCGTTCCACCGTTCACTTAAACCGACAACCAGGCTGCTGAGTTGCGCGCATCCGACATGTGAGGATCTGATTTTGACCAATTGTGGTGGGATGATGCGGACGATCTTCAAATGCAATTCTTCATTCTCAGATTGTTGAATGGAATAGGTTAGGGGTGATTTAATGAGAATAAGGTAACTTTTAGGGACAAATATGTAATTTTAAAATACTTTATTTATATGCAATTTAATAAATGGTTTAAATATTATTTTTGTTAAAAAACTAATAGATGTAGTATATTGTTAATAAAAAATTATATAAAATATGTGTATGGGGGTATTCATATTAAATTTCAAGAAATTTTAGTATAATTAATTTTAATTGATAGATTAGATATGTAATTTATAAAAATTTAATAATGGCAAAATCTTTCGACATCATTGGATTAATTTGTCGGTTAACATAAATAACTGAAATAACCGACATAAATTATATTATTTATTATACAAGACATGATTAGTATTTAATATGAGCCATAATGCGATGGGAAATATCGCGTAAATGATAGCGTGAAGTAATGGAAATGTACAGCGTACTAGGGAAAGGTCCTCTCAATGCTCTAACGCCCACACCGGATATGGACCGAACTGTCTCACGACGTTCTGAACCCAGCTCACGTACTAGTCTTTCAATGAAAAATTTCAAAAAAAGGGGTAATTTACAAATTCTTCGAGCATTTTGTCTTTTTAATACTTTCCATTTTTCGAATATTTGAACATTCAAATTATGTTAACTGAAATAACCAACATAAATTATATTATTTATTATACAAGACATGATTAGTATTTAATATGATTTTATTTGATAGTTTATATATTATTTTATTAAAAAATTAGTATGTATGTAAATGGAATATATTGTTCAATCTAACAGTAATTAAGGTACAATTTGTCTAACACAATGGTGCACATTGTCGTTCTATAATGTGCAGATTGAACCAAACGAACATAATTTATAGGTTATTCAGTTAGGTTAATTGAATTATCCTAAAAATTTGAAATAGTTTTTTATTTATAGTAAAATTTATATTTATTATGTTAATAGTTTCATATTACTTTTTCGGTTGAAATTTTTTTAGTTCGGTCAGTTTCGATCTCTATTGTACAATCTGATAGTTGTGTTATATAAAGTGCATAGTATTGTTTTATAAAATACATCGCGTTATTTTATAAAGTGCAACGTGTTGTTTTATAAAGTACAATGTGATGATGTATAAAGTGAACTATTGTAGTTTTGGTGCGTTAGTACGCATGTGTTTTGTTTGGATAAATGATGTGAGTGGTGTAAAAGTATTATGTAATCCGTTTTTTTTAATTTATGTGTGTAGTATTTTGACGGGAGCTCTCGTGTTAATGGTGTTCTATGGTGAAAAAGTGAAACACGTTTTATAAAGTGTAATTTTTTGTTCTATAAAGTGTAACGTGTTGATATATAAAGTTCACCAAACTTCTCAAAACGATATATATTAAAATATGAGGTAGTATTAAAAATACTAGCGGGCCTTCAGGCCAGTGTCGGGCGGTCCCAAAACCGAGACCGGCGGTTCACAACATTATTATTCTGTGAACCTGAACCAGCTCGGGTAAACCAAGGGGAGATCGGTTCTGCCCGGTGAAAGAAAAGCTTGAAGAACCCTAAACCCTAGACGCTTCCACAACCGTTGTTCTGCTTTAATTCCCGAGCATGAAGCCTGCGATTCACCTCTGACGACGACGCTAAGTCGAATGCTATCGCTTAATCGGTTCAATTAATTTCGGATGGCGCTACACGCCCTTCTGCGCAGAAATCTCACCTCTTTCTTCTCGGAGAATTTGTTGTCCCCAACGATTTCTAATGGCAGTTTATCTCTCCACATCGCATGTTTCTCGACGGCTATCGAGACCAAACCCTCTACCCCACCTTCAGTTTACGAGTTCTTGACGAACAAACACCAGTTCCCTCCAGAGGTGGCTTCACGCGCCGCCCCCATTTTATCCCGTTCGCATCGCCCCGAAAATTTCGATTCGGTGCTCTCCTTCTTCAAGCAGACCGGATTCACGAATTCCCATCTGGAGAAAATGTTGATAAGCCGGCCCCGTCTGCTCGCAGCCGATCTCGAGAAAATCATCAAGCCCAAGATCCAAGTTTTCCAGGACTTTGGCTTCCCCTCCGACGACATTGCGGCCATAATCTCGAAAGAGCCAAGGATCCTTCAAGTGCGCCTGGAAACCAAGCTCGTCCCAGCATTGTCCTGGCTAATGGACCTATTGGGTTCGATTGACAAGGTTGCCCGAGCTCTGAGGAAATCCGGGTGGCTGATTTTTGGGGATCTTGAAAATACCACTTTGCCTAATGTCCAGACCCTGATGAGCCGTGGCATGTCCAGGGACCAACTCGTCAGGCTCATCAATTATATGCCACGGGTTATGCTATACAAACCCGAAACTTTAAGCAGATGCTTGGAAAACATGGACAAAACGGAAGTCGTTTGGAGTTCGAAATTGTACGTCTATGCTGTTGGAATCGTCTGCTCGATGCCTGGTGGGGCTTGGGAACGCAAGCTGCAGGCTTTTCGGGAAATTCTTGAATTCTCTCAGGATGACATAGTTAGGGTTTTGAGGCAAAATCCCACTGTATTTTCTGTGTCTGAGGATAAGATGAGGTTGGTGAAAAAAGTTCTGTTGGGGACTGGTAAATATGATGCCTCGTCAATTGCTAAATATCCGACGGTACTCATGCACAGCATTGAGAGGCGGTGCAAGCCACGGTTTGAGATTCTTGGGATATTGGAGAGCCGGGGCTTTATTGACAAGTGGCTTCCTCTCAGGTTAATTTGTACTTTGACAGACAAAAAGTTCAAGGATTATGTTGGCCAGTATATGAGTGAGATTGGTGAGAATTATCTGGACAAGATGGCACTTAGTTGCAAAAGAGAGGTAAAAATTTGTTGAACCTGGTTAACGGCCTGCGTGCTTTTGCTTTGCGGGTGTTTCTTTGTGATGTCTGGTGAAGAAGAGGTATTTGGTCTTTTGTTGCATTCTTGCTTCTGACTCATTTGTCTTGAGAACTGCACCTCTTGTTTCTTTTTCATGTCCATTCGATGTTATCAATGTCATCATCCTTTTGAAGCATTGATATAGTTTAAGGTACCTTCGTTATTTGTTGTTGTGCACTTAGTAAAACGTTTATTTAGCTCATTCTGGAAGGTTTAGTTAGTATATCATAAAGATATCTGACTATGTAAAATAGCTAGTATTTTGTGTTCTAATTTCTTTGTGAGTGATTTGGGTGAGACAACGATTACTGTTGAAGTACAGTGTAAGCCTGAGTAGAATGGAATTTTTGCCAACATGAACAATGGGAAGTATTGAAATAATAATCCAATAAATTGCAGAGTTTATCTTCATTTCCTGTGGTGACCCAAAATTAGATGACCAAGATATCTGTCCTCTGAGTCTCAGACCCTCATTAGCATTAACACTTGTATGCAAAGATCGGACCGTTTAATCTAAAACAGACATGATTTTTTTGTTTCTGTCTCTCTCCTTTGATTTTGTACAGGGTAGGGATGATTTTCTTTCCTGCCCCTGCAGTTAATCTCGTGAATTGGTTTCACCAGTTGCCTTTGGCTGAACACGACTTAAAACCTAGGTAAAATTGTACCTTCCATTATTCAAAGAGAGCCCCCCTATGTATATATTCAATAATCAGTTGGTTAAGATAATGTGGGACTGAAAAGCTCATTCAAAAACCGATGGCATTGTTTCTTTCAATGAGATTGCACACATACTTCAGATAAACAAGTAATTTAACATATGAACCAAAGATAATGCACGTTAAGCAGAATCAGTATTAGACCTGAACATAGGCAATATTGGTCGAACTCCAGTTCAATAGTTGTATTTTGTTGGTGAGTTTAGTGAATTTGATGTTGCGGTTGGCGGTGTCCAGATACATAGACAATATTGGTCGAACTCCGGCATCAATTTTGTTTGTTCAATTTCTTTCTCGTCTTTTATTTATTTGTGGTGGTTTATTTTCGTGTGTATCAACGCTTGCCGTTGTTTGTTGTGGGATATTTTTGTTTGTTGTTGATACCCCACCAAGTGGTATCAGAGCATAAAGTTTATCCTAAGCTCATTTGCTAAGGCGAGCACTACATTCGAGTTTGAGATCGTCAAGGTAATCAAAGGCGCATCATCTTCTGCACTAATTTCGGCAAGGACGGTGATGTTGAACGTCAGACTTTCAGGAGATCTTCGATGGAACCGGTCATTTTTGCATGTGGCAAGGAAAATTGTTTGATATCTTTCAGGCGTCAACATTTCATTGAATAAGAGGAGCCAGGCGACGTTGACGAGAAGGACTGGAAGAATATCAACACTTAGCATCTGGAACATTTTGTTGAGTCAGTTGGTTGCAGATGAACACTTAGCACTACTATATTCTGTCAGTTGGTTGAATCGGTTGCAGATGAACTTAAACTTCATATTAAACGATGAAGATTTAGCTATGATGTTATCATCTCTTTCGGATGAGTTCGAGCGCTTGGAGATTACCCTGGGAAGGATGATGTGACTCTTGCACTGGTCGTTCTGCTCCGTATGCTATAAGCTCGAGCACTTGGAGATTACCCAAGGATGATGTGCCACATATTTAAATGATTGTTGTTGAATTAAATTCTTAGAAATGATTAATTGAATGCATTGAGACTTTTATGGACTTATAATCTATATATATATAATTGTTGGCATGTAGCATTTAATAAAACATTTAATAAAACCTCTAAAATTTTCCCTCCATTTTCGGTTACAAAATTTGTCATTAATATTTTTTACTTCTCACATTAATACATCTTAATGAGTGTAATTATGTATGTTTCTATTATATTATATAATAGTTATTGCTAATACCAACTAATAGTAATTCACAATAAATATAAATTACATAATTATAAACAATTGTTTCAAGTTATGTATTTTAACATCAATATTATCTTTTT